ATGAAACATCCTGCCCACAAGGGGGCCGATCGCGGCGAACTCAACTTTAAAGAAATCATCGAACCAGTAGAAAAGTTGTTATCTAGTAGTTTGGCTTAATCTAAGCCCACTCGCTTGAACGCCCCTTCTTGGGGCGCGCAGTATTCGCACAATAGAACTGAAGTTTCGAGAGCTATGACGTGTCCCTGAGGGACTAAAGCAATCGAACAGTTGGGTTCGGAGTACAAGTCCAAACTTTTGAGCTCCATTTAGGGATCCCGAGATCTTACATATGCTAAGAAATTATTCTATCGTACTTTTCCGCAAAAATATGCGTGTATAATAGGATGGTCTTCGGTCTGAACACCTACGCAACCGAATGCGACACTTTGCAGCAAATGATCTCACTCTGATCGTAAACGATGGCAGCTAAGAGTGACTGATGCGCCCCATCTTTGCAGTGTATCTTTCTTTTGCCTCCATTATAACATCACTTATTTTTCCAGTTGCATAAATGTTTTTTGTTTGAATACAAAAACGCGCACTTAGATAATTTCACGCGCTACAAAGCGTGGTCATGTGCTTCGACTCTCTCTTCTGATTTCGCCCGCGCCTACGGCGGTCATTCGCCGGTCTCATATCCTAGAACTGGTATCACAAAATTTCAGACTATCTTCGGAATCCATAGGTGAGAACTGTTAAGCTGAAGGCCTCTGGACAACCATAATTGGATAATTGTTTATTCGCTTAGCTGGGCCGACGACGAACTATTTCAAACAGAATAGTTCTTAGTGATTGTTAATTCAACCAACGCTATTCTTTTCGTTTCGTTGCCAAACACTCTTTTAAAGTAGCTTTTTTGGGTAACCAGACCTGGTTAGCATTTTCACTGAGTGATCGCTCAGGATCTATCGCCCCTTTCCCCTCGCTTTGTCGAAACGGATTATGCGTCGGTCGAGCGCTAGCGCTCTGATTTGATTTTTCTGGCAACGATGGGTGTGGTGCCAATAATCACACAGTCGTTCATTGTAGGTAAAAAACGGTTAAGTGTTACATCTGTGAATAAAGTTTCACCCTCCCTTGGTATATATTATATGTTATATGTTCAAACTTGAGAGACTAAAGGCGGAAATAGCACAAAGGCCGAATACATTCATCGGAGACAATCGTCCCAATGGAGGTTTGAACTTGAAACGAGAGTCTGTCATCCGTGCTTTGTTGCCCTTCAGTTGTTTCCATATCGCGTGCTCTGTGGTTGTCAACCTTCGTGCATAGAAGTAACGTAGGATGCTCCAGAACACCCCATGATGAATGCATCCGGTGGTTCTACTCCGTCTCAATGGTAGAATGTTCGCCTTTCATACTTCTGCACGAGCCAACTCAGCGCGCCGGAACCTTTTATTATGGCAGGGCTATGGCTGCTAGTCCTACTTGCTGTTGGAACCGCCGCTGGAATTAGCAAATTTCATCCATCACGACGTCATTCCTTTTACCAGTTGCATGCATCAAAAGTCAGGTGGGGGTAGAAAGTTTCCTTGACTTATGCGGCTATCCTTTTAATTCTGCGAGGCACTAATCTAGACAAACAGCAGGACGAAATGTATTTAGGCTCTCTGCAGGTTGTCGTTGGCCATGTGGTATGTATGTTATTAGGGCTGAGGTGCATGTTTAAAGATACCACAGCATACCTTCATCGTTGGACATATTTGCGGTCACTGAAACCTACACTGCCACCTCTTCCTGTGAATAGCTCCCATTTGGTACTCCTCGTCTATCATCTCCACGGCATAGTAAGCGTTTGGCTGGTAGAGACAGATGTTTCACAGGGGCATTCAAAGCCGGAGGTCCACCATTCTTGCACTTACGGCAAAAATAACGAAGAGCCCATATTTAGCATCCAGGGGATAACTGCATCGAAGCAGGCCACTCAGAAAAATTGGTTGTCTGTGATGCATCATCCACTGAAGGGCATCGGACCAACTCGAAGGCCGCTTTCTGGCAAGACGTGCTGCTCAAAGCTCTTAGTCAGTTCTTTGTGGCAACGCTTAGTTGTAATCTAAGCGACTCCCAGAACAGTTTCCAACTAATAAATTCAAAACGAAATCAGGCCACCAGGTGAAAGTCACTCCTGGTATTTGGAGCGCATAAAACTGGCCATAAACTGTGCCAACCTATTCAATGACGTTATGTATTTTAGAAACGCGTTCCGAGTGCTCGATTTTCTTTTGGTCAGCTGCCGTTTCGCCACGGACGGCGTTGTAAAAAGATTTGCTCGCCTCATGTTTTGAATAAGGTAACAAGAAGCGACTACGACGTGGCTTTTTTGCTCTCATTATCACAAACAGAGTGAACGATTGTTGATAAGAATGTATTCAGCATACTAATCTCATATGATTCAATTTGTTAGTTTTGAGAGCTCGTCGGATATGTATCACCGACTGTATCATGACTGCCAAACGCACGCATGCATGCGGCACAAATGTCCAGTTTTTAATCCTCTGACGCCCCCTCGGGGACGAGAGATAAAAAACTGAACCAAATTACTTTCCATTGAGAGTTTCTCAGAGTTTGGGCCATTAGTTTGCTGAGATGGAACAGTGGTTGACCAGAAACACGGTAGAAATATGCGCAGGTACATAAGAAAATAAATCAACCCGAAATCAAGTTCAACAACGGAATATAATCTTATGGACTTCTTCGGTGTGGGCGTATAGACAAGTAAGTATAAAATATTTGCACTAGTGTTTTGCCTCATCTCTTTGGAGTGAGTTAGTTGGCACAAAAAACATAAGTCTGATTTATGCACCATTCATTGGTGCTGAACTGCACAGGAGGTTGGATACTTGGTTACATTGGTTGCAGTTAACAGTACTATTGAAGCCAAAGGCGGATAGATTCTAACCATGACTGTCAATAACGTTTAGTTTGCTTGATGTTTACGTCCGCTTTTCGCTATATTTCAATCGTTTCTCCACCCATTATTCTATCGTTGCTTTTGCCGTCACTTGAACACGTCTGGCCTAATTCTCCAAAACGGCCGCAAGATGGAAAAAGTCGTTTAGAATATTCACGTCATCATGATTCGCACATCAGAAAATCATCAGCTTGTCAATCGGCGAAACTACCCCACGTCTGATGACCATATAAGTAAAAAAAGTGGGTACACATGCACATTTTAACGGGCGCAAGAAAACGGTTGCGTACATTTTGGTCCTGTTTATAAAATCAAGCTTGGATGCGAACAAGCAACGACCGGTAGCAGCGGATCTTCACACAAAAGTGCCTGATTTCCACCGATTTCGTCACACGAATTAACTAACGTGCAATATTCCTCGCTGTCGTTGCGATAGCTCAATCAGTTACGAATGGTCTGTGTGGACATGGAAACAAGAATCTTTCGCAACAACGAACATCACCTGCGCTGTTGTTCAGGTTATGTTACTCCGGGTATTCCGTTTACATAGGTAGTTTAAAACTGTTCCACGTTGCAAATTGTGGGTAGCGAGCTCGAGGGTCCATAACTGGGTGAGAGACTGAGGACCATGGTTAGTGCACTATTTTTACGGTTTCACATTGGTTTGCAAAAGCAGCTGCGATATAGCGAAAGAGAAGCCCTTGCTTAGGTAGACACCGTGCTAAGCGGGACTAGTATTCGGTGTGAATTAAACTCGGAGTTTGCCGGTCCGGCAACTATGTGGCGACGTGTCGCTTTCATCGGATCATGACGACGGAACTAAGATGTTCGTTGCGTTTGTCTGGTACATTTCGGTGGAATAACGAGGGACTAGATCTCCAGGCTTTTGTGCGGAACAGCGCAGAAACAATCCTAAAGGCGCTGGCTTTGCAAGCGTAACATGGCGTCTGGGAACACAGTGAGGCATAAAAAAGCATCACAGGTGAGACAAGCAACTGAGTTGAGTGAACTCGCTGACCCGATGCTGAAAAATTCTTGACGAGGTAATTCAACCGGGGATTTTACGGAGATTCAAAGATTGACAAACAAACCGTTTAGTACCAACCAAAGGGATCAAACCTACGGTGTTGCAACGTCATATATGTTTAAAATTACGTCCAATCTTGAATGACTGCCTTCCAGGTTAACAATTCAAATGAACCGCCCCAACTGGTGGAATTGAACTCTATTTCAGTTTTGCAAGACATCCATATTTTCCGTTTTCCTTACCGCGCAAATCGTTTCACCGCTTTGATTATACTATTTTTGTACCAAAACCTTGGGCAGCTATATATTGTTTTAATTCATGAGTCTGAGACGCGGTTTTGGTCACGCGTTGACTGTTGATCCATATCGGCTTTGATTGCTTTTTAGAGTACCTCACCGTTTGTCGAAAACCGTTGAGGTTTGTAATTTTGCATTCCGTGTAACTGTTTTCATTTTTATAGCACAGCACATTTGCGTAGCCATTTTTTCGGAGTTTTACCGGTTTGGTTGCTAACCTTGGTGCTCGTTGCTCAAGAATTCGAAACGGTCGTTGCATACGGTACTCCTGTCTATCCAGCCCTAATGCTATTCAAAGATGCGCATGAAATTGTCTCTGCCCGTTTCCAGAGAGGGACGGGCCCTTGGCGGAATTTATATTTCCTCAACCTCACGTAATATATAAGCTCTTGTGCCACGCCGTAAAGCACCTTGCCGAAATCTCCATATCTACTGGCCATTCTATGCTTTTAAGCACAGGCCACCCTCCTTTCGGTTTTTCGGTTGTCAAATCGCGGACAGCACACATGCTTGCCTGTATCCCTGGAAGCATGATGCAGACATTTAGCACGAATAGGCTTTTGCTGTGTCACCAAAATCCAGGTGCATGATGCGGGTACGACAGTTGGGTGCAATTCATTATGAGCACCTCGGGTACACCCAGTATCCGTTGGTCAGGTGGCAGGTGTGCTGTTCGCCCAGCTTGGAATTTTGCTTGCCAAGTCCAGCGATAAGCTCAACGGCCGTCTTATCGAATGCCAGAACGCGGGACAAGTTTATTCCTCATACAGTACCAGCTACAAACTTTGGGCGATTCGGCAGCCTCCTCGGCTGGTGTGCTGATGCTGGCAGTCCAAGATTTGCAGGCATTAGTTATTTTGCTTGGTTCACATCCAACTTGGTATACATCCGACTTTTCGCCCCCATAGTAACTGGCACTGGTAGGTGCGCAAGTCATTCTGTATTTATTATATCCAGTTGTGTACCAAATGTTTTCCTTCTGAATCAGAAAAAGTTAAATTTCATCAAAAATCACCGCCTCTCCCGTCTAATGTAAAATGCTTATGTTTAGTTGCGAAGATTGGAGAATTCAATGCGAATGCGGTCCACTTTCGTCCAGAGGACGCAAATCTGGGTGGCATAACTCCCTAAGATAATGGAGAGCGTCCGTTGCCTTTTTTGCTGTTTGTTTCAAAGTGGTTGGTGCCGTCGAACCTTATGACTTCCTACAAACCCTTAAGCAACTACGGGAGACCCATGGGGTTTCTTATCTCTCCAAGCTTAGTAGATTCTTCGAGTGAACCGTAATCTATGGCTGATCTCCTCTGGGCAGCACACTGAAAGCAGAGAGCAGAGAGGAATCAGTCAAGCAGGGATCACCCGCTAGTTTGTGTGCTGACTACGTAGTGAAGGCTTATAAAAAAAACCTCCCGTGAGCTGTGTCGTATGTGAAGGAATGTCCGGGTGTGTTTTACAAAAAAGGGTTAGACGCCCACCGGCATAATAATTATAATAGGTTTATCTCCCAATTTGTAGCGAACATGCCTATTGCAACTTGAAATTGCAACTTGAACGCGGCAGGCAACAACCGCTTGCCCAACTTAATGTAGGGGTTGGTCTCAGATTGAAAACAGCACTACTCGCGTCCAACGGGCCTTAGACCTAATATTTTCAGAGGAGCGTCGTCCGGTTACGGCCGCAGTTGGTCCATGGTTTCCTGGTAGCGATCACCGCGTCTTTTTGTGCAACGCGGTCAGCTATATCCAAACTATCCCTTTGAGTCCCTCCCTCTCTTTCCCGTCTTTAATCCCTATGTTTTGCTGGATTTTTCATCCCTGCTGGCCTCCCGATACTGGAATGACTTCTTTCTATCGACAAGCTCACAACGATTAGTGTTATCGTCTACCAAAACTGTTGACCTCTTTACCTTGCTTCTCCCATTAACAGTTTTCTCCCTGGTATCTTTCGGCATGGCCTTTTACTCTTTTTCCATGGAGCTCCGCTACCTGCTCTGCAACCCAAACGCTGTCTCGGTACCCATCGCGGTACGCCCCATCCTCTTATTCTCACGTAACCTTACCTGGTCCTACTTCGCCTACTGATTCGAGAACCCTTGATTTCCCTGTCTCTACTCCATTCCATACTGACCTCCCTGGGCTTGTCAAATTCTTGCTAGCCACATTACCCACCTCCCCCGATCCCGCTAGCAATCTTTCTGTCGTTCTAATCAACACCCGCTCTCTCTCTTACCTAAATTGCACTACATCCAAGCTATCTCCACTATAGCTCGTCCAACCTTCATTTGCATCACAGAGACGTGGCTCTCTCCTAGCACACCTGATGCCCTTATCTCCATTCCGGGATACACTATCTTCTGTTCTGATCGTTCCCACCGCCATGGAGGCGGCTGCCTCATATAAGCCAGAACTAAAATGGAAGTCTCCACCATTGACGATCCACTAATGGCGGACACTCCAGACTCTGTTTGGCTTTCTGCCTGTCGGGCTAATCCACCGTTCATCCTCGGGTGTTTGTACATGTCCCCCCCACACTCCATTAGCTCGATTAATCGTCTATCTACGGTTCTTTCTCACACTCAAGATCTACCTCACCGGAACAAACTAATTGTTGAGGCTCTCAACCTTCCTGAGATTGCCTAGTCTCAACAAAACTCCCCTTTGCGCATTTCGCCCCTGCTTACCCAACTTAATGTCGAAGGCTGGTCCCAGCTTGTAAGGCAACCAACACGCGGTACCCACACCCTGGACATTGCCCCGGTCAACGGCTATCTGTGTCCCACCGCTGCAGTTGGTCGGAAGTTTCCTGACAGCGACCATTGTATTGAAACTTGCGCCTTCAGCTACTCTTTCTCCCTTAACCTATTTCATCCTTTCCCCAGGCATCCTTGAAGCCTTTGCAATCTCACTGTAATACCATAATCATGCCCGGCAGTATGCTACCCACTAGTTGGGAATAAATATTATTTTTATTATTACTAAGTCCTCGGACGAGTTCTTTCTCTCTGGTGACACACAAAGCGCAGCTAACATCTTTTACAGCAACTTACTATCATCAGTATATCTAGTTGCTCCCACACGAGCCTCCTATGCTTCTGGTTGTCATCCAGCCACATGACTACCCGCTACACGCCATAAACTTAGGAAGTATCGTAGGCTCTTCCTTGAATATCATGATCTCTCCCTCCTTATTGTAATCAACAAACTTATGACTGATATTACCACGGCCAAACTCGACCTTGAAAAGCGTGAGGAATCGACCGCCGTAGCCCATTTTCTACAGCCTCGGATGCTTGGGCGCCTCTTTCGCCGGCGTTGCTTCTCAAATTCATCTGCAGTTTCAAATAGTGTGGCCGCGGACGGAAAACCTCTCTCTGACCCTGCTGAGATTGTGGAATCCCTAAACTCCTACTTTGCCAGCTGCTATGTTCCCTCCCCATCGACTCTATCTACTTATTGCTCCCCACCTGGCTATGAAGTGGCCACATCTGCTAACGAGACAAGCCTCAACCTCTGCACACTCTCTGTTACTTTGTCTGACGTAACTTCGTCTCTCGCCCGCCTTAGTAACTCCAGTTTCCCAGGCACTGACGACATCCCTTCACTTATATTAAAAGCTGGTGGCCCGGACGTCCCCGCCCTCATCCTTAATCTCTTCAATATCTCCCATATCACCGGCACAGTCCCTAGTCAGTGGAAGCACCTACGATTGTCCCACACTATAAGGCAGGTCCACGAACTGCTCTAGCCAGCTATCGTGGCATCCACCATACCTGCCTACTCCTTCGTACCCTAGAGCGCCTCATCAAAGTTCCTGTCATGGACTACCTGCTCGCCACCAAAACCCTTAGCAATCGGCAGTATGAGTTTATGGCACGGCGGTCAGCTAATACATGCCAGGTTGATTTCTTCAATCATATTTCGTCCGCCTACGACATCGGACTGTGTATTATCCTTATCTACGTTGATATTCGCAAGGCATTCGACCAAGTTCCCCACGATGCACTCCTCAACAAATTACGAACCGCGGGGATCGGTGGCCCCCTACTGTGATGGTTCGCCTCTTACCTCACCGGTAGAACCCAAGCCAACAAAATCAGGGATCTCTGCTCCTCAGCCATCCCCATTACCAGTGGAGTTATTTAGGGTAGTGTGCTTGGCCCCCTACTGTTTTTAATATACGTTATTAACGTCACCGACTCGATCACCCATGGCTCCCCTTTTCTGTTTGCTGATAATGTTAAGATAGCCTGCACGTTTAAGGCCAGTGATTCTGCTTCTACCCTGGCTGACATTCAGTTTGACGTAAACTCTTTATCACTCTGGCCTTCCAATTACTGTCTTTCGCTGTTCCAAAATGCTAAGCCCTGTCATATCGATTCCAAATTCCTCCTGGGACGCTTACCCTTACCGGACTCTCCATTGTCTTCCCGAAGTGAGAGACCTAGGCCTTAGGTATTCCTGTACATTTAGTTTTAATCAACATGTAAGGTACAGAGCGGTTAAAGCTCGCAAGCTCTGCGCTTACATTCGCCGATCCTTCCATAATAAATCCTGTTCAGTTGACATTTTTAAACAATTTGTAGGACACATTCTTGAATCCAGCCCTGAATTCGCCTCACAGTTTTCACAGACATGTTGAACTGCTGTGGAGAATGTGCAGCGCTCGTTTACTTAGTCCCTGTTTCCGGTGTCATCCACATTACCGTATCGTCTTCGCTGCTAATCACTTGAGCTGGATCCATTATGGCTAAGGCGCATCAGGCTGAATCTAGGCCTTCTGCATCGTTCAATCTACCAGTGGGCTTACATAGCTGACTGGTGCTCTGAATTTTCCTCCCGTACTCCCTATAATATCCGTTTACTCTCACCGTCGACATGTCGAACTGTCTTTAGACAAAACATTTTCCTGTGCCTTTATTCTAGACTATGGAACAAGCTCCCCTTCATATCCGTACTATCTCATCTCACGTTGGCTTTCGAAAGGCCATCGATTCTTACCTTTCTGTTGAGGGAGCTGAGCGCCTTTTTGCGCCTCAGCTTACACTAGATACTTTTTTGAAATAGGCTCCAAGCCCTTCTAATCTGCGCACCCACCCTGACTGTCCTGTTATTAGGTCCTAGAACTTACAATTACCAGCCTGAAACCCTTAGCATTAATCCGCTAGTGCGACAACTACCCTCCCAAGCGTTCTTATCTATAACTCGCCACTCTATCTCTCTCATGCCCGTCTCCACTGAGCTGGTGGCATATCCCTCCTCCGACCTTAAGCTTTTGTACCCAGCCCAATTATTCCTGGTTCTTCAAGCCTAGTCCCATACCTGAGTACCTCTGTTAGCTCTATTTAATGTCCGGTGCTTTCCTTTGACTGGATTTAGCTAACCTCGGCCAAACTAAAGCCTCAGTTCCACGCTGTTCCGAACCATTCTGCATCCCCTGAATACGCGCATCGCACATATCAAATGGTGAGTCTGAAGATGCGCTATGAATGAAATACTTGTTTGGCCCCACAGCCCAATCACTCACACATACACATAGCACTGGTGCACCTCTACTTGACAGAGTGGTTCACACCAACGCTTCGTTTTCGTTTAGCCGTAGTACACAGGCCATGAACATCTCCATTCTACCCCCATTGCCCAAAAGGTAGTTGATGGTTCGTTTGCTCTCGCGACTAGCCCCTTCCAGTGGCTGTTTGCTGTTCGATTGTTCGAAATGACTGAGCCGTTTTACTGGCCTGGCTTTCCTCCCGACCGGATAAAATATCTGGTACCTGGAGTTATTTATTAATGCACAAACCGCGCTTATGCATGCTTGAATGGTTTTCCACCTCGCAGATCTGGTAGCATGCACGAGGGATGAAAACATCGTATGGTGGACGGATACGCCCTACATGGAGGGTTGCCCTGTTACGTTGCACCATGGTGCGTTCGTATACTC